GATGATCTTGGGCTGAGGGTTTAGAAATGGCATTTTGCGGGCTCTTGAATGGCACTCGTGAAGAAGCCAACTGTGTTGTCGTCGAATAGACCGAGAAACGAGAAGCTGTTGTCACGAAGTCATGAGGTTAGATCATAATACAGAGAGTGCATACTAAAGCCTCCACCGGCAACTTCAAGTCTAAGTGGTTCCGAAAGTCGGAATTGGTGGAGATTCATGACTGCCGACTCTAGATGCCGCGATTTAGCAAATTCTGCAAGATCCACAGAAACTAGGACCACCGATGCAGTTTCGTTCAGCACCCAAAATCATGATTCTCCCAAGCTATTCGGCGTGATATGATCACGAACCATATTGCCACTTTGAAATTCGACGCAAGCATTGAAGTTCGATCTTGTCGCTAGGAATAGCTCCGCTTCGTTCGCTTCACCCCGCACAAATACCCCAGATCACGATGCTTTGACACCCTTCTGAACCACATGGGGATCTGGCCGAGGGGGAAAGACTCGAGACCCTGGTCCTGGTCCGGGTCCTGGCCCTGGCCTTGATCTGTGAGACTAGCGGCCGAGGTCTGGGGCTGCAAGCACCCCATAAGAGAAGAAGGCGGATCCGCTTGATACTCGACCACGCTCTTAGACGAGGGTTTTCGGTGCCCTAGAGATCTATTCGTCGCATCAAGGAACAAGGTTTCGTACCTGAACTTCGCTGGCGGAAATTGAGCAGCAGGCTGATTGACTACGCTTCAACGGTTGCAACCCAGCAGTTAGTGTCGGATCCTGGGCGTAGTCTCCCAGCCATTGTTTTTATCCAGCATGTACTTGTCGAAGAATCGCTGCAAGTCATCGAGATCCTCTTGCTGGTACATGTCGTGCCATTCTTGAGTTGCAGTCCAGCGCAACCTTTTGTGAGTGTCTCAACAATTTGAGTAGATGGCAATACGCCTCATTCCAGACGGAAAAAGTACAATTCTTCAGATGATCGAGAGAGCTGGAATGCTCTGACTGATCCCTCGATATATAGCCCAGTTGAGAAGCTGGCAGCGGCATACCTTACATCGGAATAGTAATGTTGCGGAGCTTTGGCTTCTTGTTTTCCCAATAGTCATTCCAGGTACCATACTTATCCACCATCGCGCTGACGTCCTCGCGCATCCCAGGTCCTATGGAAGACTTGTCGTCAGAGAAGGCTCGCAAACAACACCCACATGAGGAGCACACAACGCTTACAGCATGTCCATCCCATCAACACATCCCAAAGCACGGTCAGGAATGCCACCGCGACAGACAGACTCCCTATAGTAGTCTCCGAGCCCTTCCTCAGGTGCTATGCAAGTCAGATGAGGAGGTTGTTCGGCAGCGATGAACCACTGCGTTGTTGCAAGCCACGAGTTCCCGGCCCTGGAGACCTCACATGTACCATTGCACCAAGGTTGCCGCGCAAATGGTCAGGGACTTTAACTTCCTCTTACCTATAAGGCTAAACATAAATCCTCTGCTGTTCAGTTTGAAGATCTAAGTCCTCTCCGCCTGACACTAAAGAGTACTCTCTGTGGCTTTACAAACCACCTATTAACAGTCTTCAATTCCCCACTAAGACACTTAAACTCGTACCGCCTAACTAGCTCTGGGATCAACTTCACCATCTCCAGGCTTGATATGTGCTTCCCTATGCAGGTCCTCGCGCCCGCTCCGAAAGGCAGGTAATACTGCTCCATGGCCGCTAACGTCTCCGAGGAGGCGTGTTGGGGATCCCACCGTTCTGGTATGAAGTCTGCGGCGTCTGTGCCAAAGACTTTTGCGTTCCGGTGCGCTACCCAGGGATTGATACCGATGAGTGTCTGTTCAAAGTAGTTAGAACAATTTTATGCGGCTGTGCCATGTTGAATAAGGCTTTGAAGAGTTACCCCAGGCGGAAAATGGGTTCCATCGACGTCCAGACCGGACCCTACGACCTCGCGCCACATGGGCAAGCCGACGGCTGGATGGAGTCGCAGGGCTTCTTTGATGACCATCTGGAGGTACGGAAGTTGCTGGGCTTGGTCAAAAGTGATGTATTCATCGAGGCTAGAGCAGAAGCCTTGAGAATAGAGCTCTTCGTACATGCTCTTTGCGACACCATTTGTGGTGAGAATATGGTACATCGCACTAGTTAGAGAAATGCTCGTGGTGTCACTTCCAGCTGCAACGTTTCCTGTCAAAGTAAGCGTTTGAACACGAAATCTTTCGTATTCCTCCGGGTCTTCCTTCTGCAGTCGTTGAGCTTTTGTCAGGAAGGTCTCTCCGCCATGCTTTTCCTTGATGTCAATATCATCGCTCTCGGATTGGAGCTTGCGCGCAAAACTTGCGATACCACGAACAGGGTTACCATAAAGGACGAGAAGTATGGGCAACAAAACGGCGTTGACGCCTGAGAGTGTCGAGAACGCGTTGGCGTCTTCTAGACCTCGCATGATGCCGTCGATATCTTGCCCGCCAGATTCCAAGAAACCTACTCGTCTGCCGAACTGGTATAAGAGTCAGAAAATTGATGCAATCGGGTAAATGAGCGGACCACCAAACTCACCGTGATCTCACCAATCACATCAAATGCATAGCACTGCATCCACTGCTGCAAGTCAAACGTCTCTCCGCTCTCGGCGAACTCGTCGAAACGCTTCAGAAGAAGCGCAACACAGCTGTCAACATAGGGCTCGTAGGACTTGATTGTCGACATGGAGTACATGCTGGCGACTTTGCGACGCATGAGGCCATGCACGGCGCGATCGCGCGCGCTGAAGAGATTGTGGTTCGGGATGCGAGGGTCTCCCCAGGCATCGTACCATCCGCTTTTTGGCAAAGGAGATGAGATGCCATAGATTACGCGAGCCATGGCCGGGTCATCAATGCTGTACATGCGAGGCCCGATGCGAACGATTTTCCTGGCTTTGGTGGTCATCAGCAATGAGCCAGGAAGTGATTAGAGCCAAGGAATAATAGCCACTTACAGCCATTCTCATGTGCTTCGATGTCGTACGCCTCATACTTGCCCTGCCATATTTTCCAGATGTACCATGCATCAGTCCATCTGGCAAGGGCAGGCCCGTACGCTCCAGGGAGTGAAAGACATGCAAGGATGTGGCTGAGCAGCCAGCTGATGGCAAGGAGCGTGAGAGAACCAAAGAGCACAAGAAGAGACATGGCAGTTTTCGCCTGGAGATGCTTTGTTTGGAAATTCGTAATGTAGACAAAGCTTATAACGTATGGCTCTTGGGGGATGAGGGCGTGGGGAAACACTAGTGACGTTGCAGGATGTGGTGGGGTGCCGAAACTCACATGGTAAGTGGCGGTGGGGTAGTTGAAATCTCTTGTAGAAGACAGTATAAACGCGGGGTTGAAGCCATGTTGTGAGACTTCTACAGTATACATTAAAATAGTACAAGAGTCAAATTCAACGAACTCTGCCTATTAAAGCCCATGTTTTGGAGGCTCACTTGGGGTTCAATGACTATGTCGGCTGGTGATTCTTAGCTGCCCTCTTTAGTTGATAGATAGAGATAATGGTAATTGCTACTTGCTATGGATCCTATTTCTGAGCTTTCATATTTTGCTGGCGAGCTTTCTCCATGTGAGGATGGCCATAGAATACCTTACCTTCAGGACCATCCAGCGTTGCCGCCTTCTCAATCTCCTCGTAGATCTGACCGTTAACAGGCGCTTGCTTGGCCGAAAGGAGCGCGAAGGTCTTTTTAGCGCGGTCTGCCTTCGATGTAGATGTCACGACAATGCCGCCAAGCCGGTAGTATGCCCAGCTGAGCAGCAGATCAGCTGTGGACAGCCTCGTTTGCTTTGACTGCTCTTCCAACTTCTGCAACAGTGCTGTGCTGTCTTCAGTGGGCAAGCGACCGCTGACGGCTGTCAAAAGGCCATAGTCTGCGCGACTGTTAGCTTGGGAGATTTATTTCCCAGAGACTTGGTTAATGGCGTTAATACTCATTGGGACAACGTTGTGCTTGACCTCGAACTCGCGGAGTTGCCGGACCTTGGGATCAGACAGCAAGAACGGATTGAACTCGTATTCATTGAGCTGTGGAGGGTGTTTGAGGTCGCTGGCGCTGAAGATGTCGTGGTAATCGGGCAAGGTCCTACAAAATCGCGCTTGTGAGCTTTGATCGGGTTACGCCCCGTCGTTGTGTTATTGACGACATACCAATTCGATACACCAATAATGCGAGCAACTCCCTGATCCTTAAGATCTTCCAGCACACGCCATGCATCGCGATTGGTCATGTTACCATCATAACCGCGGGGCGGGAAGTGCAGCTGCAGGATGTCGACATAGCCTTCTAGTATCCCAAACCGCTCAATCTCCTGCTTTACGGCCTGGATCATGTGATCGCGGCCTCGACATCCTAGGGATGCGTAGGTATTGATCTTAAGGGATAGGAAGATCTCGGAGCGTTTGAGATTGCTGCGGCGGAGGACTTCGGCAAAGCTGTCATTATTGGTGTAGATATCGCCAGTGTTGAAGTGACGGAACCCCGCGTCAATCGCTTGTTGAATTTCGACGCTGCTGTCCGTAGGAAGTGGATGAGTGTGGCCAGGTGCCCACTTCATGAGGGTTCCCACTCCGAAGCATAGGCGGGGTATGGCTATTCCTGAAATGCTGATTGTTGACATGGCTGTTGTGTTTCTCAAGACGTCGAATACATTGGATGATGTTGGCGGCACACAACAAGCCCACGTCCGGCGGGTGGGTGCTTTTACGGTGGGGAAAAGAACATGACGCCGTCCAAGGTTCCTTGCTTCATACGGACGCCTCCGCATTGTGGGGTACTCCGATGTGGTGTTGTGCCGTCCCTCTAGAGCAATTCGACAAGGTCACAATACGGACCTCCTGGCACAGGCGATAGTTATTTCAAAACAGACCTCATGGCTTCCCATATGGGAGGAAACGTTTCTCATCATTCAGACTACCGCGGTTGGTTGTTACACATATAAGTCTTTCATTCACTTTAACCCACCATGGCTTCGTCTAAGTTTCTTCCTCACGAGGGCAAGCATCGCAAAATTCGAGTCGCCATCATTGGCGCAGGAATCTCTGGACTTGCCGTCGCCAACGGCTTGCTGAAAGATCCAGCTGGGAGATTCGATGTCCAGGTCTTCGAACGCGACACAATTGCATTCAACTCAGAGCGTGGCGGGTATCAGCTCCGCATCAGCGCCAATGGCCTTAACGCTCTGAAGACAGTCTCCGACCTTGAGCTCTGGTCATTGATCCGCGAGGTTTGGGCCGGTGATCAGGCGAAAGCGCCTACCATTGTTGATCCCGATACTTTCGCAGTTCGTCTTCGCCTCGGCGATCTCAAGTTGTATCCCAAGAGTCGAGCCATACCTAGGAAAAGACTGCGTGGTGCTCTTCTACAGCCATTACTAGTTCAAGGGCGGGTTCACTTCGACCACACCTTCGCACGCTTTGAGCTGATGCCCGGTGAGCGATGCGGCGTGCAGCTACACTTCGATGGCCAGGCTTCACAGGAGGCCGACATTCTTATCGCATCAGACGGCAGCAACAGCCAGGTCAACCGACAGGTTGGCCTTAACAACAAGATCAAGCTAGACAGCATGACTTTGATCCAGTCTCGCGGCATAATTTCACGATCTGTACGAGATGAGCTGCCCGAGTCGCTAGTCGAATCTGGCTCGGTAATGTTCTTGGGCGGCAAAGATGTTGCTGGATTTGCATCCGTCTATGACCCCCAGAAGGACCCAAGTACCAGCGGCACAGAGTCATACACCTTGTTCTGGTCGGTCGGTATACCGAGGGCCCGGGGAGACGAGCTGATAGCGAAGGCCGGCTCAATTTCTCTGAGAAAATCATTCCTCACCTCATAGATTACTTCCGAAACGACCTTGGCTATGGCAAACCTTTAGAACTCATCATGCGATCAGCGACTGAGGCTGTCCGGACGGGCCTTGTGACCAGCTCCGTCAAGCCGAAAACGGATTGGCGAAACGGTATTGACAAAAATTCACGAGTGGTTCTCCTCGGCGACGCCGTGCACCCCATGACGCCTGGCCGAGGCATGGGTGCAAACCAGGCACTGACTGATGCCGCCAATCTTGTCGAACTTTTCCACCAAGAAACATTTGAGCAGGACGTGCCGTCGGATGGGGAACTCGCCGCTTTAGCGCGCACATTCGATGCAGAGATGTACACTCGCGCGTTTAAGATGGTGGAGGCCAGTGAGACCGTAACTTCGCTAGATTTGACGACGTTATCGGGTAAGATGATGATTACCTTCGTCGGAATGGCTATGAACGCGATGGGATGGCTTATTTCTGCCTTAGAGACTATTGGTTTGAAAGCCGAAGTGAAGGTAGACTATGTATCGCATGAGAAGTAGTGTATGTAGGAGATCTGTGTCTATAGACTGAGCCAATGTGCTGATAATCGAAAAGGATATTATGAAGGCAGCGTGACAATGGATTTGCTTTACCGACTCCTCTGTGTGATGGACATCCTAGGAGCGAGCACAAGCCAGAGACGAAGGCTGGACACGGCTTGTCGACAGGATCCTGAAAGTTGCCTAGGTAGTTACGAGGGCGGCGCTGGATGGGATCCGATAGTTTCTACAGAGCCTGGATTATAGAATAAGTTCGCCTCACGGTGCGGAGTTGCGGGGGTCCCCGGGCTTGGCCATCAGAGGGTCTGTGGCTCCAACCTGGCTATATTAGGTGCATAATCCAGATTCAATCCAGACGTCAATCTGAACTACAGCTTGCTTTCTTCTCCACTTCACGGCGTTGACAGGCAAAAGCTTAAGCATGGATGCCACAATCGAGTGGTTCGGTAAGTTGCCGCTACATTCAGTGTCTCTTAATTACTGCCGAGATTTGTGAGGCTCATTAATTACCCAGGTGCTACCACGTTTCGCGTGAAAGTCAACGGTCTCGTCATCTTCTTGGACACATGGCTGGAGCGTCCAGATGTTCTGCCCAAAGTGTTGGCTATCGACGATGTGGATGAAGCGGATTACGTCTTCATCTCCCACCCACATTTTGACCAGTGAGTGTCACACTAATTCGCATTACAGTCACTGTTATTTTTCCACAAAGCCGACTCACTAGGTGTCCTTTAGTCTTCCCGGAGCCGATAGGATCGCAATCAAAACCGGAGCACATGTTATTGCTAACGGCGAAGCCATTAACGTCCTTCGGTCAGCTGGAGTGCCCGAGGACCAGTTGATCCCGGTATCTGGTGGCGAGCGCATCCCTCTGTTTCCTTTCAAGTGCCGTCAAGCTGCAGCTCGTGGTGAAGTTGACATCGCTCCTGGGCCACCAGGCGCTCCTCCAGCTCCGGATGCTAGATTGGCCGCGGCCTCCGTCCATGTCTGGCCTTCACTGCACTGTCTCATGCCTGGTGGCTCGCATGCCGATGTGCCTGCAATCATGGATACAGGCAAGGAGTATGTTGGAGGAGCAAGCCAGTACGCTTGCACACTGGATATCACATTCGGTATGAAATACGGCCTTCTCAAGATCGGCGACCACATGCCTCGAGATGCTATGGACTCGGGCATGCGCTCTTTCGTGGACTACGTCAACGGCCCGGCGAGGGAATGCATGTCTCACTTTGACGGAGGGCAGCTAATGTACAACTTCCTGTTCGGGGAGGGCAAGACACTGCTATGGAACGGACATCTGGGAGGTTACGATGGAATACTGAAGACGGTGCAACCACAGCCAGACGTGCTCATTCAAGCAATTGCTGGACGGGCGAACTTGAACGGAAGACCGTTTGATGGATCTGCGGCGCAGTTCGCGGTGCAAGTATCGAAGCTTCTAGGAGAGCCAAAGAAGGTGATCTGGTGTTTGCACGATGAGGCGCCGATCAAGCCATGGACGGTGGATGTAAGCCCAGCTACGCAAGCGGTCGAGAAGGAAACGGGTTCCAAGGTGACTGCACTGCAACTGGGTACATCGGATATGCTTTTCTGAACATTGCAAAATAAAAGTAACACAAAGAAGTCAGATCGGGGCGTCGGAGCAGTTTGCAATACAACGCCTATCATAACGTCTCAGCTTTAACGACTTCTTGACATGCTTGAGGCAGTTCCATCTATTAATGTGAACGGGACTAAGCTTGATTGAGTAGGCGAACTGAGTCCCGCCCTCTGTGAGATTCGCGTGTTGCGGTGGCGGTTGGTAGAGTGCAAGACGGGAGTTTCTCATCGGCATCCCTCCACCCCCACGGCCCCGCCGCCATTCCCCACATATTTCGGGATCCCCCACCCCCGCCGCCGCCGCGGTATCTCGGAACCCCAACATTCCCCATCATGTTCCGCAGACATACCAAGATTTCACACCTCAATAAATTGTTCAACATGCGATCGCATACCTCCGCAGTTGCCAATCTAGGTAGCAATGCCGATAACGATGGCGCTGCCGAAGGTGTCGGTGACGGCAACGGCCCCTCATCCTCCCCGTCTTCCTCCTCCGCCTCCGCATCAGTGCTGTGTCCCGAATGCGGGCAGACCTTCCGTCGGCGCGAGCATCTAAGTCGACATCTGGACCGCCACTCCGGCCGTCGTTCTCACGCATGCAGTATCTGTAAGAGGGCCTTCTCTCGAAGGTGTGTATCCTCCGTGTCTTGGATAGGCTGTGTCCAGTTCTTCTCCTGTAACGTCTGTGACTGACTTTCAGCGGGAAAAAGAGACACGTTGAAACGGCATGTCCGCACACATGGTACTGCAGTCCTCGTTGAATGGACGCAAAACAACGACGGTCATCTCTCACGAGACCAACGTCGTGCGTGCGAAGCCTGCGCCAAAGCTAAACAACGCTGCGATGGTTGCAGGCCAGCACCTTGTACCAACTGCACAAACAAAGGTCGTCGCTGCTCATACCAACCAAGTTCTGGCGATGACAATACTATTCTCGTTGCGCAGCCTGTAGCTGATAGCGACGTATCCCCTGCCCCAACTCCGCCTTGTCAGAACCTGCTGCCTATTACTTCGCAATCTTGCGTCTCGGACCAACCTCCGCTCGAGCCAGACCTCCTATGGGACGCCCTCTTGACCCCCGCCCAATATCTGTTTCCTTTCTCACCGGCTACTTCTCTCGGAGTTGGGACATCAACAGACTTTTGCTTCGGAGACACTGCTTTGGCTACTGTCGTTGAACCTGTGGATGACCAGAGCGTGCAGAATAGCTTCGGTACAAAAGCAACACCAAGAGTAGGTGTGGAGGCCGTTGAGGTCATTACTGGGCCAGGCAACCTGACAGCGGAGGAGGAAGACATCTTGATTGCTGAGTACATTCCTCATGTACCTCCCATGACAGCAGAAACGCGAGCATACATGCTCCAAGCCATCAAAGCCCGACTGCCACAGCACGAAGCCCAAGGGCTTGACGCCAACTTCCCATCTTTGCGACACCTTGATGCATACATGCAATTGTATTTTGAGCACTTTCATCCGCGAATGCCTTTGTTACATAAACCGACATTTCAGGCGTCACCCGAGACGTGGCAGCTGGTACTCAGTGTGTTGTGTCTTGGCAGTCGGTACTCCCTAGCGCACCACCATCACGATCATGTTTTGCTACTGCAGCTAATTGCCCAGCACATGCTGAAAAGAGATGTAAGGCCCATCATTGGAGCTTTTCTCATGGCATGGTACTAATGTGACAATTCAATAAATTGCAGATTCAAGAGCTATCGAGCAATGACGTTTTGACCTGTGCGCAATCTCTATTGTTGTTCCATCAAAGCCAGTGGCTCTCGGGTGAGCGGAGCATTGTCATCGAGGTGCAATTCTACCGGAATATCCTCGTCACCCTTTGTCGCCAACTGCTGTCTCGAGAGGGCACTTTGATGCACACGCATACATCCGCTGAGGACGCGAACCACGCATGGTCCCAGTGGATACAAGCCGAAGCCAAACGACGGATCATACACTTCACTTGGAGTAAGTCACCTTCGCTGAACCACCCTCGTGCTACGAAACTTACACACAAAAAGTGTCGGAGTGTCTCCAGGCGACATTCTTCATGCTTCCTCCTCTGCTCTCAATTGCTGAGCTACAAACTCCGGTACCCACAGCTGATGCGTACTGGTCATCGAGTCACGAGCAGTGGCACCTTCTCCCGCCACCGCAGCCTTCATTAACTATTTGTGCCCTACTTGCACGCGTTGGTCTCGGCGATGTAGCGCCGGCGAGTCTAGAGCAGCCGGCCAAGTCTACAATACTGCTCTCGGCCATCGTTCAGCAAGCTGCCGAGAGCGATCTGCTTCGAGCTATGGGACTCGGCTCTGTCGGCAGTACTGCTAGTCAACCCGGTCTAGCTCTAGGAATGGGGACGATGCTCTCCCAGAAAGCCTTCGATGCTTTGTCCCAGGCAGGATGCTCTCAGATGTTGCGCGAAACGGACGCCGGCACCAACTCGAATGACTTTGCCTTGCTCTCCCGAGTCCTTTCCATTTGCTCAGTCACACCGTTGCGGCTACTCAACCCCTACGGTAAATGGCAGACGACAGATGCAGGTCACAGCAAAGCCCGGTCCGAACTGCTGAACATCATACCGCAGAACGTCAGCAGAGCAAGGCACTGCTTGTACTACGCAGCGCAGGTCCTTCAATACTTTCGCACTATGAGAGTGGCAACAGTACTCGACATCCTTAGCGTCTTGATCTGCGTGCTCTACATGGTGGTGTACGCAGATATTTTTGAGCAACAAGATCCTGATTCCGCCGGATGTGGGGCCAGCACCGGAACATCCAATACGGAGATCATCCGACTCGACCAAGTCGTTGACATAGATCTTTTGAACGGCTGGTTGGAGGTCAGAAATCATAAAAGACATCACATTGCCGGGGTCGGTCTCCTGCACGGCGGCCGCAGCGTGCCTCGTTTGTATAAAGAAGCGTCGCGGATTATGGCAACCGGGTCCTCGGTCTCGAGGATGGCTAAGGAGATGTCGATCATTCTCGAGTCACAAGCTAAAGGTTATCCTCCAGACCTTCTAAATCACCGACAAGACATACAGAGAGCGGTGTGAAGCTGAGTTGAGTCACAACGAAAACCACGAGGGCACAAAATGAGGCAAGGCACGACGATGTAAACTACAACTTGATACCAAGCATATATAAACGGTTCTTGCCATCTCTTTTACGATTTTAGTGGACTGGAATCTGCTAGACTGAACTACGTGGCAGGGAGCGCAGATGTGTGGCCCTCGCCGGTAGAATCTTCGCGGGCTATGTCGATGAAAAATGGCACCTTTTGTCTCAGGTACCCAAAGAACCGATGAGGGTGCCAATTCCACTTATTGGTCGCCATAATATATATTCCTCGCAATGTTTCGGTAGAAGAATCATCCTTCGACCACGCTTTATAATCCAGTTTTTCGCATCTCGTCTGCGTCCTTGTATGCTGCTAAAGACATTGCATGGGCCAAGCTGGCCGGAGTTGTCTTCGTGGTCTGTTGTGTGTATGGATTTTTGATGTCTTACCGTTGCTCAAAACTTTCACAGGGGATGGTGATCACTTGGCTGTAACAAATAAAAGCCATCTGGGAAGAGACCACGTAGCGGTCAGGGCCCGGCATCTGCAATATGGAAAGCCGATCTCCAATCTCTGCATTCAACCGCAACACATAACCGCTCTGCGTGTCGTAACTTTCCACAAATCCAATAGCTATCAGACCTGCGGTGGAGTTGTACGTGATGCCCCTTAATCGGTCGGTCCGGTCAAGCTTTAATTCCCAAGTCGTAGCGCTGGATGTCAGGTCGATGATCTCAGTTTCGGTTCGTCATTCAGCAGGGCTAAGTGAGTTGCGTTCGGTGAGGAGCTGCCAAGGGCAACGCTAACATCTGGAAATTCTTCCAGAGCCTCACTCATTTGAAGCGTAAGGGAAGGAAAGTGCCACTACTGAAATCGCCACGTGTTCATCCGGCCGTCATTCGTGCCGATGTACGAGCCACAAAGAGAAAAGGGCAACCATTTGGATGTCTGAATTGGCTCTTCATCCAATTCACTGTATGGGTATTCATCGATCTTCGACAGTGATTGACTCTCTGAGTGCCTTGCATTCCGTATATAGCAAGCTCATTTGAAAGTCCAATCGCCAAGATCTCACTGTCTTTGCTCCAATCCAATGTAAGATCGGTGTGATCGTGTTCCAACTGCGCCTCAACGATAAGGGGTGGAACCCTTGAGGGAGCAGAAAGGGGCCCGCCCATGTTTTCGCTATCCCAAACGCTCACGTTCCCTCGGCTAGAGTTATCGCAAATTTTGAACGATCAGGTGAGGATTCAGCGTTCCTGAGCGCGCGCATTAGAAGTGCAAGCATCGGCTTGCTGAATTTGAAGATTAAGGGCTAAAGATCAATATCGATGATTCGAACCAAATCGGAGTACTTTGTGCACATGAATTTGCCATCAGGGGAAAAGCAAATATCTTGATCAAGTTCAGGCTGACTTTTGTAGATAGATGCAGCGTAAATGAAGAGAGGAGTAGAAGTGTCGTTAAGATGTTTGACGATACTTTCTCCTGGCCAGTCCTCTAAAATCCGGTAGAATATTGTATCTCTTCAAGCTGAGTCTTTACAAAGACTCTAATATCGTGATAGATAACGGAGCATGGTATTTCGTGAAGCGCCACGTCTTGATGCAAGCCCTCATATACATCTTCCCGGAACCCAAACCGGATCGGAACCTCTGGCCGACTGGTGAGGAAGACTCGGACTCTCACTTCGGTAATGACTGCTAATTTGGTAAGCTCCTTGAGGAGCATCCGGCTTCTATCCTGTTCAGGGGATTCAATGTTCCCGGTGTAACGTTCATCTAGCGCGTCGATGACGAAGACAAGCGTTAGGGCTAAGAGTCCATCAAACTTCAGTTCTTTCGGCGGTCTCGAGATCAGTCCATCAAACTGTGTTTGGAGTTTTTCCCCAGCTATATCAGGCTTATTTTGTACAGCCTCAATTTAGGCTTTCTT